CAAGCATTCCAGTATCAAGTAAAGCAGTTACAGAATTCAACTCTTGCAGCAAACCATCTGTGTAAGTGACTGAGACTGCGAAAAGGTAGGAACTTGCAACAAGCCCCAAAAAGAGATTTTTTTAATTCATCAGTCTGTGCTGTTGCTGAACGTGAATGTCATGAACTTCGGTTACAATCTTAGTTCTGGTCTGCATCTTTTACAAAAATACACACTAGCAGTGAGATATGGAAGACCAATAAAGACGATAGCACTAACCAGATACGGAGAACTTTGGGTGTGTCATAAAAAGAACTGCATGTAGGGTTCTGCGTGGGGATAAAAGTTTGTATTTTCAACAGCCTACAAAAGAAATTGTAACTCCTACAGAAGAAGAAAATGTGCAAGAGCCTAATCAAACAGATTGATCAATAATTTTGAACAGTAAAAGACAGGCTCACATTTCAGTCATTGACTCTTAGAAACTTTATCTTACAATTTAATTCTTTGCAGTTTTTCTATTTATTTGATTGTAATCACCAATAATGGGGGTAGAAATACAGCTTTGGTTTTATAAAATCAAACCCTGAAAACACTTTGTAATTTATCACAATTTTGTAAATGTTTTCAATAGATCTTCCAAATATTGATGTGAGTATAAAATGTGAAGTGTGAGATAAAATTTTATTTTATTTTAGAGTCAGACTGTCATACAGCATGGAAACAGACCCTTCGATCCAACCAATCTATGACGACTATAATCCCAAACTAAACTAGTCCCACCTGCCTGTGTTTGGTCCATATCCCTCCAAACATTCCTTATTCATGTACTTATCTACATGTCTTTTAAATGTTGTAATTGTATCGCATTCACCACTTCCTCTGGAAATTCATTCCACTCACGAACCACTCTCTGTGTGAAAAGAATTGCCCCTCGTGTCTTTTTCTAAATCTTTCTTCTCTCAGATATGCACCCTAGTCTTAAAATCCCCCACCCTGGGGAAGAGAAACCTGCCATTCACCTTACCTACATCCCTCATGATTTTATAAATGTCTATAAAGTCAACCCTCAACCTTCTATGCTCCAATGAAAATGTCCCAGCGTGTTCAGCCTCACATAACTCAAACACTCCATGCCTGGCAACATCCTCGTAAATGTCTTCTGAACCTCTTCCAGCCTAATAATATCCCTCCAATAACAGGGCAACCAGAACTGGACACAATATTCCAGAAGATGCCTCAGCAATGTTCTGTATAACCTCAACATAACATCCCAACTCCTATACTCAAAGGTCTGAGCAATGAAGGCAACCATGCTTAATGCCTTCTTAACCACCCTGTCTAGATGTGATGCAAAATTCGAAATGTACTTAAACCCCTAGGTCTCTCTGTTCTATGACATTACCCAAGGCCCTACTTTTAATTGTATAGGTCTGCCTTTGTTTGTTTTACCAAAATTTAATACCTCGCATTTATCCAAATTAAACTCCATTTGCTACTCTTTGTAATCTTAAATAACCTTCTACACTGTCCACTATACCACCAATCTTAGTGTCTTCTACAAACTTACTAAACATGCCTTCTATATTCTCGTCTAAATTATTTATATTAATTACAAATAAATGGCCCCTGCACTGATCCCTGTGAAATGCCGCTGGTCACTGGCCTTCAATCTGAAAAATAACCCTGCACCATCACTCTCTGTCTCCTGCCATTAAGTCAATTTTGTATCCAGTTGGCAGCTCACCATGAATCACATGATCGAACTTTACTAAGTAGTCTACCATATGTAACCTTGTCAAAGGCCTTGCCAAACTCCCAAGTAAACAATGTCTATCGCTCTGCCCTCATTAATCTTCTTAGTTACTTCCTCAAAAAACTCAGTCAAGTTTGTGAGATATAATTTCCCTCACACAAAACCATGCTGACAATCCATAATCATTCCTTGCCTCCAAAAGCATATAAATCCTATCTTTCAGAATCACTTTCAACAACTTACCACCGAAGTCAGACTCACAGGTCTATAGTTCCCGGGCTTCTCCTTACGTCCTTTCTTAAACAAAGGCACATCATTAGCCACCCTCCAGTCGTCCAGCACCTCACTGGTAGTTATCGATGATAGAAATATTTCTGCAAGGGGCCCCACAATTTCCTCCCTCACTTCTCATAAAGCCCTGGGATACACTAGATCAGGTACCGGAGATTTATCCACCATTGTATTTTCTAAGACCTCCAGCACTTCCTCTTCTGTAACATCAACTGTTGTCAAAGCATCAATATTTGTATCCTTGAGTTTGCTAGCTTCCATTTCTTTCTTCATAGTAAAAACTGATACAAAATATTTATTTAATATCTGTCCCATCTACTGAGGTTCAAAACAAAGACAAACCTCTTTGATCTTTGAGGGGTCCTGCTCTCTCTAGCTGCTTTCTCGCTCTTAATGTGTTTGTAGAGTTTCTTTGGATTATCCTTAATCTTATTTGCCAAGGTTATCTCATATCTTCTGTGTGCCTTTCTGATCTCTCTCTTAAGAATGTCCCTACACACTTTATACTGTTCAAGTGATTCATTTGAACCCTGTTGTCCCTGTTGATTCTTTTTTGTTCTTGACTAGAGCCTCAATATCTTTATTCACAAATTTGCTTTTATTCAACCACAAAGGATGATAGTGATTGGGGTTTTATGCAGATAGAATAAAGGTAGCAGAGTTTTTGATGTCTTCATGTTTGCTGAGGTGGCTGGGACCTCATTGGAAGAACTGAATTTTGAAGTGATGAAGGTTAGATGAGGATTTCAGTAGCAAATAGACTAAGGTAGACCAAGTGGGTGATGTCATAGAGATGAAAGTAGATGGTCTTTGTGATAGAGGGGCTATGAGGTCAAAAGTTCAGGCAAAGGCCAGTTACGACATTGGGTTTGCAAGCAGTGCACATGACATTCATTGAGGAAAAGAGACAGTGGTAAGCCTGTCAACCATCTACAAGGCACAAGTCAGGAATGTGAAGGAATATTCCCCACCTGCCTGGATGAGTGCAGCTCCAACAATACTCAAGAAACTTGACACTATCCAGGACGAAGTAGCCCAGTTGATTGTTTATTCATCCACAAACATTTGCTCCCTTCATCACTGATGCTCAGTAGTAGCACTGTACACTGTCTACAAGATGCACTGCAACTTCCAAACTCATAGCCACTACCATCAAGAAGGACAAAAGCAGCAAATACATAGAGACGAATTTCCATTTTTGGCTAAATGCAAGTTGTTTTGATTTTTTTGAGGGATTCTCACCATGAGGCCCAATAAGATTCCTTGTTGCATCTTATCAAACATATCACATTAACTACTTATGTCACCCCTATAACAGCCCTCCCATCCCATTCTCCCCCATTTTGCCACATGCCATTCCCAAAATAACTCACCAATTACCTGGACCTGGCAAAGAGATGTTGGCACCCCACTTTGCAGGCAGGGTACCGGATTGGTACTGCAGATGCACAACCTTCTCTGCCCCCAAGACCAGCAGTGGAGGCCACAATACTAAACCCTGCCAGTCTGGTACAAGGTTACCACCAGGATCAGTACAGTCTCAGCCACCTGGGGGAATATCCAGCACTGTAGGAAGAAATTCAGTGACATTCCCTGCTCTGCCAATGATGGCGCCACCATCTTCTTGGTGATATCTTACACTCATTCTATCTCTGCTACTGCACCCAACTCCAACCAAAGCTCATTCTCTACCATTTTCACTATCACATGCAAAATCTTTCTTACTTGCTCTCACCCATCCCAACCCTCCACACCACTAACTCCACATGCCCTTTATGCTACCTACTCACTTTTGTGGAAGATTGCCCCACCTGCATCAAAAGTAACAGCAGTGTCATTCACTTTCATCTCCTACAATACATCTCTCTCATTCCAAGAGGAAAATAGTTTAAGATGAATGGCAGGCTGCCCAACATTCAGTTCCTCACTTCTTACATGGAGAACATCCTTATTCTGACTGCTCCAAGCAACTGACTAACCATGTACAAGCCACTGGATTAGTATCAGAAGCTGCCCTTGTCTTACATTGCAAGGAACCGTTGTCTGAATGCTATTTCCCTTGACTGAGGACTGCTGACAACCACGACAAGTTTCCTAACCATGTCTCTGCACAAAATTGCAAGGCAGCAGATTGTATAGTAGGGATGCTGCAAGAATTCAGGTAGGTTCAGGGTGACTGAGCGGTATGACAGCAAGTGAAGGGCCCAGAGATGTGGCCTGGTCAAGTCCATGAGCTGCGTGTGGGTTCCTGAGCACACTGTGTCCTTGCTTCAGCATTACATGATAGTTATTGGTGCAGCCCGAGGTGCAGCATTGAAGTACAGAAGCATCCTGTAAGTGGATCAAAGATGTGCCAAGAGGGTTCTTAGAGGGTAGCACATGTTGGATGCCAACATCCATGGACCAAAGATGTATGTGGCCTGTGTCCGTGTTGAATGCCCTAAGATGTTGGTGCCCAGTATCCAACGTGGTGGTCCTTTGGAACAAGAAGTGAGTTGAAATCACAGGTACCCATTTGGAATTGTCAGGAATTTTCAATGTCTAACTTGTTCAGTGCATTTGGTCAAATGTGAAGTTAAACATTAATAAGTTCAGATATGGTGTTAATATGGCATTTAACAAGCTGTAATTCCCCTTTATTGGCAATTTGCTACTGTCTAGTGAAAAACGTGTCTCACCATTCAGCAAATGCATAAAAGATGCAGAAAGAAACATTTCATTGGGCTTCTCGTTCAATTCTGCCACAAATCTCACCTTAGCCCATGTTGCTCAGATCTTTATAAGTTTCAACCAACTCAAACACCACTACCACCTTCAAGTTCCTCTCCAAGCCACTCGCCATCCTAAATTAGAAATGTATTGCTGTTCTGTCACTGTCACTGTAAATCCCTCCCTAACAGCATTGTGGGTACACCAACACCAAATGGACTATAGCAGTTCAAAAGGCAGCTCACCATTACCTTCACAAGGGCAGTTAGGGATGAGCAACAGACGCGGGTCTTTCCAGCAATGCCCACATCCCATGAGTGAATAAGAAACACAATCTGGAATTGACTGCATCAGGATTTAAGTGTGGAATAATCTGTGACTGACAAAAGTATAAAAAATGATAATTATTATACCTTAGAATTTAATAAATACGAGCAGAGAAGGCTGTTGGCTTTGTTCAGTCATTCAAGAAGATCATGATTGATCTGACCTTGCCCTCAAATCCACCTGTTTTAATGTGTGTGCCTCTTCCATGTTAAGAACTATATTTCTTGTTAGTGGAATGCTAAAAGTATTTCAGCTTATAATTTTACATGCTTTGTACTACTTCTTAAATGAAGAAAGTAGTAAGCAACTAATATATTGCCACGCTGTAGATGAAAATGGCACACATTAATTTCAAAATGTAATACAACAAAAACCTTTTGTCCTCGAATAGGTATTGTATGAGCAATAAAACCAAATAATTTCTGTTTTTGTTACATCGCATTTTGTAGTTAATTTCTAAATTTGATCAATTTAGTATTAAGTACAAAAATGTTTGTCTTAAAAGGACAATAACTTGATGAAAAATAATTTGACAAACCACTGATTGTAGAGGGAGTAGAAGTATAGGAGTAATAATTTTTATCTTAATGCAATAAGCAAATGGCTGACTAATGTAACTCTTGCTGATTTGTGACTTTGTGGCAAATCTTTTCTTATGAAAGCAATGCTCTTTTAATGGCATCATTGGAATGAAGCCTTTGGCATCCAGCTGTTATTCATAAAACCTGTTTAAGACAAACAATTGACGTTGCATAAAAGAAATATTAATACTATTTAAAATCTAAGATTGAATGTCTTCACTAGAATACTAATTGCTCCAGAATATTAACTGACATTCACATTCAAGAAATTATATCACCTTTTGTCCAATGGTCTTCCATATTTATGGAAACTCAAAGCTTGTTTGTGGGGAAGAAAATTGTATTGCATCAGTGGCCCTCACAAATACTCTACGGTTATATTGTGAAACCACTGAAGGGTCAGCATAACTATATGCCTTGTATTTCCATGGTTTACTTTTGTTATAAGCTGTGTTGCCTGGATAGTTGTTTTGTGCTGAGGAAGTACTCTCAGTTTTGGTAGCTTGCTCAACAGCAGGAAGATATTCCTTTAACACTCCCTGTTTGGCGACATGGATGGAATCTCTACATTGATCGTTTATGTCTTTGTGTTGATAGTCATCTTTTATTTCATGCAAATCATTGGATGAAAGAGTCAGGATTTCAGCAGTGATAACAGATTGTAGTTTTTGCTGAACTTCTTTCAGCTCTTGCTTTTCATTTGAGTCAATGAATGACTCAGGGCCCTTAGTTTGTGAAATTGTTGTTGTCTCTGCAACTTCCTTTAGTATTTCTTGAGACTGTTCCTCTTGCACAACTGTGAGTTGCACAGCTGAGTTAACTGAGTCACTAAATTTGTCAGGAATATGCTTGTGCTGATTATCATCATGTTTCTTGTCTTTTGATTTATTTTCTGGTAGAATGTGAGTTTTAGGAACAATATCAGACTCTGATTTTTGTGGAATTCTCTTCAGTTTTTGCTTCTTACACGAATTAGTGAATGACTGTGACTTCCTCGTTTGTAAACTAACTATTTTCTCAGTATTTCCCTTCTGTATTTGCTGAGGTTGTTTCTGTAGTACAGTTATGAACTGATTAGTAGTGTTGACTAAATCTCCAGAATTATTTAAATTGTGTTTATTTTGAGCATCATCTTCTTTAAGTTCTTGTAATTCATTGTCTGGCAGCATTAGGATTTTAGGAGATACAGTATTCTCTGATTTTTGAGCACCTTCTTCGAGAGTTTGCTTTTGGCTCAAATTGATGAATGGTTTGAAGTTTTTAGTCTGTAAAATTGGTTTTTCAGCATTTTCCTTTAGTATTTGCGGAGGTTCCTCCTTTAACATGAGACTGTGCTGCTTAACTGCAAAAATGCCATTAGACAGATTGAGCGTGTGCTTATTTTGGTCCTCATATTGTTTTGCTTGATCTGTTTCATTGTATGGCAAAGTTACAATTTCAGTTGTGAAAATAGGTTCTGATTTTTTTGAAAATTCTTTTAATGCTTGCACGTTACACGTGTCAGAGTGTAATTCTGGGTTTGTGGGTGGTAATTTTCTTGTTTCTTTTATATTTTCCTTCCTTGTTTCAGTTAGATTTTCTTTTCTGCTACTTTTCATAGATGAAGAGACTTCAATGCATGGTATTGGACTGTGCAATCCAGCATTAGTCACAGTATGGGGAAGGTTAATAATATTAGGCTTCTTGTTGTCTCCCAATGGAGTATACTTGGGTATCAGGGAGTTGGTTTTATGGATATTGGTTGTATCAGAAAGACTTAATTTGGAAATACATAATGAAGAGTTTGTAACTGCTTCTCCAAAAGAAAATATATGGTTTATATTTTCAGCAAAATTCACAGTGTGTACACCATTTTCATTAACATCACTACTGGTCCTGGGTGATTTTGTTAATTTATTTTTTGTCTCATCACCAGTTTGGAATTGTGTAGTTGGATATAACACTTCAGTGACCATTTGTAGAACTGGTTCATTCAAAATAACTTCTTTATTTTTAATCTGAGAATCCTGTTGTATATGATCTTCAGTTTTTTTGGTAGTGTCTGAACAAGTATCATTTGATTTCTCTGCATGTAGTATTTGCATCCCTGCTGGATGTATTGTATTTGGACAAAGAGCAGTTGTATTATTTTCTGCATCTGATTGTCTAAGAGTAGCAAGTTTCACTTTTCCAACTGAAAGTTCACATTTTTGTTGATCTTTCAAATCAAAAGTCTGCATTTCAGTAAAGTTGGTATGTCTGCCATCTATTGTGGGAAATTTGGAAGTAGTAACATAGGTTTGTGCTGTCGCAGGACTTAAAGTTTCAATATTACTTTCAGCAATTGGTCTTTCAAAAACACCAGCTTCCATTTTATTATTTGTAAGTTCACATTTTTCTTTAACTATCAAGTCAGTAGGACTATGCACTTCAGTAACATTGGTATTTCTTTTGTCCACCATGGAAACATTGGTCGCAGTGCTCTGAGAATTTGCAGTGCTGTTAGATTGCTCTAACACTGCTACTTCCTTAGGCTCGGGAGGCTCTAGTTTCTCCAGTTTACTTCGAAAACCAATCTTTGTAAACCTCGACTGCAGGAGCTGAAATTTAGTGGGTCTGAGCTTTTCTTCAGTTTTATGTGCTTTTGCCTTTCTGGTGACTTGTGCAGTAACTAACTCATTCGTCAGGTGTACAGAGTCTTCGTTGTTTGTACTCTTTACCTTTTCTAGCTGAGCTATGTAATTGATCAGATTGTTGATTTCCTCACTTCTGCGCTTGTTCACAAACACCCTGGCAATTGGACGCACATCTAAAGACTCATTTCCTTGGCTATGATCTGCACCGAGATACAAAATCCTGCAACAAAATTAAAGTCGAAAGTGTAATCAGAAGAGATCTATACTTTACAATTTATAGTTAAAAGCCTCACGTTTAATACATATCCAGAGCACCACAAATTAAAATATGTACAGATGCATTCCACTAAATTTTTAAAGTTCAGTTGGGAAGTCCATCCCCAGATGAATTCTGGGTCCCAACCCTACACTGCCATTGAGTCTCTCATGTGATGCTATTCTGAAACGTGCTTAACTGGGGAGCAGGTGAGCTTAGTGCCTAATTAATGGTATTGCATGTCTCCAGCAGTTGGGAACTACCTAGAGAGGTGAAGTGAGGGTCTGATCTGCCAACTCCAGAGCCAGCAAGAGATCCATGCTGAATCCTTCAAACAAGGCCAGTCTGATCAAATGCCAGTCAGGCATTAGTAAAGCCATTGTTGGGTCTCTGCAAGGAAATAAGACCCTGGGTGGAAGTCCTACCCAGCAAGAGCTGCCAGGCAATCAGAGGCCAGCAGTTCCCACATGTGGCAATGCCATGGAGGAGGCCATGGCTACTATCAGAAGAGTGGGCAATAGGACTGCCTGCAGCTGGGCTAATCTCAACTAATCTCAGGATGAGGCCCTTAAGTGATCTATAATTGGCCACTTCAGTGCCTCATTTGGCAGAAGTCAATCACCCAGATTGAATTACAGTGGAGGTGAGAAGGTGGTAGCATTTGGGTACAACACCACTACACTTGAGTAAGTTGCCTTTTCACTTCCAAATTCATCCCTTCCAGGAGCTTAAAATTCCATCCAGAGTCTGAGCAGTAAAGAAAATAAGGCAGCCATTATATGATCTACTGTGTCTTGCTGCGGAAGTAGGCAGTGCCTTAGATGGTCAGCTGCCTGAAATATGTAGCTAAAATGAAGATAATGCACTTGACATGGAATAAGATTCCTCACGGACTGATACTTTTCATCACAGACAAACTTCCAAATGCTCTGTAATGAACCTGATGACTGGTCGAAATTGTACACCAGACTGTTTGAGTTTGGTGAATTAACTGCTGAAAATCCTGTTCTCACCTTTCCCTGCCCAATATCAATTAATGGATCATTCATTGAAGGAAGTGGATTCCTCATCCACCACTCTGCATTCCCACCCTGAAAATTGCAATATGGTCAGCGTCTTCATGATCCAGAGATAATATTCAGGAATAAACATTTTGAATTGTGCTGAACAATGGCTCAAATATTTCATTGTCTTTCAAATAAACATATCTAGGATATCTTCAGCAATTTCGTCTTCAGTACACTTGACTTTGCAATTAAAGCTGCCTCCCTCCCATTTCTTATCTACCTGCTTTCTTTAATAACATGAACTAGAAACAGGGAATAATATTATTTTCCATGTGGTATCACTTGCCTGCAGGCAATTTTTGATATGCAGATTGGGCATCCCTGAAAGTTTATAAGCATTTCTGTGCGGTACAATACCATTTACTAAGTCATATGTGAGTTACAAATAAAAAGTACTCTATATGAAGGAAGGTCGGTAAATTTGTTTGCTGAAGCTGCTGAAATTAGTGCGCATATTTTGCAATATATGTGCAGCGAAAATGTTACTGATTAGATTGTAACCCCACTTTGAATGATCTTCATGTTTGTTAGACTTACCTGTCTGCAGTAGCAACCTGGTACAGCTGTCTCCCCAGCTGTTCTAGATGGCTTCTTAATTCTAGGTTCTGGTAAAGACTCGTAGGGACATTGTCAAATCCATAGAGAATTCCATATAGAGAACCTGCAATAGCACCTGTTGCATCACTTTCCCCTGCAGATTCATAACACAATTTTCAAAATGTAATGATTACTTCTTCAGGTAGCAGAAAAATATTGTTCACTGTGTCTGGTTTGGTGTCCAAAGGGAGAACTAAGCCATTCAAATCTATTACAAGTAGTCCATTGCTTTATGTATATATATAAAATACATATATACACATATATATATTTGGCAGCTTTTTGGGTCTAACAGACATATTAAACTGCCAGTACTTCAAAAAACAGTGCTTTGAGATTTTTAAATTTTAAATAAATGTGAATATACATTCTAATGTAAAAGACAATAGTAATTCTAATATTCAACCCAGAAAATATATGTTACATTAGATATCATAAAAATCTCCAAATTTTTTAATTGCTGTCATAATTTCTGTTGGTCTGAATTTTACAGATAGAACTTAGTAAAGATTTATCCGGCAGTGATAATTCACACAAAATTCTTACCCCAATGAAACATTGCAGAATAACACAGCTTCCTCCAATCATTCCCAGCAAACAAAAGTGCATCATAAGCAATCAATGTTGTTTCAACTCCTTTACTCAATCCACTTGATTCAGAGCGCCAGCGTCTATATAGCTGTCATATTTTAAAAAAAAGTTGCAGCTGTCATTTTCAATCTAGCATTATATGTCAAAGTAACCTAGTTCAGAATAACCTAACATGATGGAATAAAATTTGCTGTAACAACTGTTTCTTGCCCTCTGTCTTAGAAAACCAAATTTATAAGTGTTGATTCATAAAACGTTGAGTTTAAAATTATTGGCCTAGACACTGGGTGCAATTATACCTGTTTTGCAGGTGTAAAACAGTTGACTATAGGTCCAATATGCTCACTCATTCCACACTGTAAGTATGCCATTTGCTTTCATTGTTATAATTCCTCCATAGGCAGCCACAGTACACCCTAATTGATGTAAGGGTCATTCCATAAGCAAAACAGGGGTCCAATATCTATTTTAGGACTCTTTATAAAAATGGTCCATTAATGTTTGCAGCTTATTCTGTGCCTGGTGTGGTCAATTTTTTCAGATGCTCAGCAGTCAAACTGATGAACCTTAAAGCTATTGCCAGAGGCCACTATCCAAAACGTAACTTAAAATGCTTTTTACTTAATATATGGTATACATTCCTGATAGCCTTCCCCATCTTAGTTGCCAGTCAACCTGTGACCAGCATCCTTGTTGCCCGTTGAATTTTGAGTAGCGTTGATTGTTCATCTATACCGACCTAATGAAGCTGGCCGATTAATTTTTATTTGGCCCTGCTGCTGGCCTCAATGGACAAGTGCTATGCATGTTTTGCCAGGATTGCAAACTGCTCTGGCTGTGATCCAATCGAACTGCTCTGCATGACCAGCACTGAAAATATCACTAGGTTTGTGGACAAGAAAATCAGCCAATGCTACCATTTAGGATTTATGAAGTACACAGTATAAAAATTAGAAGTTTACCATTTAAGACGGAGATGAGGAGAGTTTTTTTTCCTCTCAGAGGAATGAGAGTCTTTGGAACACTCTTCCACAGAGCATGGTGGAAGCGGGATCATTGAACACCTTTAAAGGCAGAGGTAAACTGATTCTTGACTAACATGGGAATCAAAAGTTATTCAGAGTAGGCCGGAATGTGGTGTTGAGGCCACAATCAGATCAGCCATGATCACACTGAATGGCAGAGCCCTACCCTGCTCTGAATTCATATGTTTGGATGTATAAATGCGTGGTTGCAGAATAAGGACATGATTGGGCATAGTTATGTCTTCCCAGCTCAGACAACTTGCTCCTACACATTGTCTGGGCTTTCAGTAACATAGGAAATATGATGACAAAGTTGTACACAGCACATTCCTACATTATGGAACTTGGAAAGGAATCACATTCACAACAAAAGGGGCAAGGAAAAGAGTAGATTTAAAATTCATTTTAAAATTTAGAAATGTAGGATATAAGTTGTCAATGGGAACTGCATTTATGTTCCAATTTTAAGATTGTAACAGCAAAAATAAACTTAGTTTTGTAAATTTACAAGATTAAAAATATAGAATGCAGATGGTACATGAAGTAGTATTCAAATTTTCTGTCATAGGAAAAATATTTCATTGCTGTAAATATTGCTTGGATGAGGATAAAGGTTGTATGTTATTGCAAATATACCTCTGTGCCTCTGTGTTTTAAACCCCTGCTTAGAAATGTGCTGGGTTTTGTCAGCCATCAGTGAAATCACCAAGTTATGATGCTGCAGCACAGAGGAATCTAATGACCCCATCTGGTTTGTACCATTGATATCTGCTTACACTCTTGGAAAACCCAAGAAATCACTTTGGAAGCATCAAGAACCTAAATTTTCTGTAAATTCACTAGTAGCAATTCTTGCAAATGTTGATCTAATAATGGCAAAGACCAAGAAATATGAGCTCACATAGAAATTGTATGCGAACAGACTTGCACACGACAGATAAGGTAGCTAATAATGTATCTGACTGAATAAAATCAATAATTTTCTGTCTATTATTTCGCCTAATACAGAAAAGAAGAAATGAAATATTATCTGGCATGCCAAAATAACTTAATTCTTCAAGATATTCGTATGTCTTGGTAAAATAACACAGACAAGGATGTGCAAGATTTTTGTGGAGGAAATGAAATGTTGGATTAAGAAGAGGAAAACATGCATTTATATCGTGTCTTATTAAATAATTACTTTTAACTTTTGTTATGAAAGCGAATTCAACAGCAAATGTACAACAGCAATAGCAAATGAATAATGAGATAACCCGTCTTTTGGGAATTATGCTTGAGGGAGAAGTGTGAAAATAAAAAGTTAAAACCGGCATTATTATAGCACTTTTCTCAACCGCATGAAATCTCAAAGTGCTTGCCAGCCATTGAAATAAATTTTGGTACATGGTCACTGACTATATCATAGGAAATATAACAGCAAAGTTGTAGACACTTACATTATCCTAATGTGATATTGACCAGAGAATCTGGTATCTAATCAGAGAATCTGATCTATTTTGTAAAAGAACAGGAATATTGTGCCTGGCATCCTAGACAACATTATTTTGGCAAATGAAGATCACAATACCAGATTCTCTGGTCAATGTCATATCAGGATAATGTAAGATTTTTGTGCCTAAATGCTGAAGTGAGACTTGAACCCATAACTTTCTGACTTATATCACAGTGCTGCCATAAATCACTGCTGACACCTACTATATACTTGCTGTTCTGAATATGGGGAAAGTGTATTGTTCCTATTTGAATTTTACTTTGATATTATTTACGTCCACCAAAATATGACAGGTTTAATATTTCAACTGAAGGACGGCATTCCCAACTCCTTTAATACTGTACTGAAGTATTAGGTTAGACTATGTGCTAAAGAATATTGTTGGACCCTACTGATTTGGGGCAAAAGTGCAGCCAACTGATAATGTTTTAGCTTGTTATTAGAACCAAACAGAGTTGGTAAAGTCCAAACGTCCCTGAGTTCCCTGAGAACTATTTGTTTCGAATGAAATTATGCAAACAATTATAATCATTCTATCTCTTAACAAACCCTATTTAAGATGTATAATATCATCTCCAAGCTGGATTTTAAGTTAGTATATTTCTGTTCCCTTCCAGTTCTTTCCTCTATTTCTGCATGTGCAATGATCTATGCTAGTTACTTATTCTATGGTACCAGTGGGACTATTCTTAAAGTGCGATCTCAGAGGATAAATGCATGCAAGTTATTTAGCAGCACAGATAAATACTGTTCTGTCCTTGCCAGATGCCTACAAGTCTGCCTTTGAACAGGGAGTTGGAATACAGTTTCGTATTTCACTTCAATGTCCCAGGGACACCAAAGACTCTTAGGTTGCCCAAGGTTGCTCAGTGGGAGATCATTAGCTCTGAATGTGCCTGGAAATCAACCTAATCTGTTGTCAACTGACTATCACAAGCCCCAAACTGGATTTTTATTTTGAAATGGAAATTTCACACTTCTGATTGGAGGAAAAGTGCTGCCAAAAATTATTGTTTTAATTTAAAGGAATTGAATTAACTTAAATATTGAATAGCAATGACATCATTGAGCAGAACATCTCAGGGGACTGACAGCACAGGCTTGTATAGGGAATCGTTGCTGAAGGGTGACTCAAGGAACCATGCATCTTTCTTAATTCAGGTCCTACTAAGTCCTCAAAGCTGGCTGACTTGGTATAAACAAAAATATTCACTAAACAAAAGGCAGAAACAAATGATTTTTTAAGTTAACAAGAACTTTTTGTTTACTTTTGGGCAAAGTTATTTTGATTCTATGATTCTATGAATGGGAGCAGGGCAGCTTCTGGCATGTGGAAACATAAACTTATGAACTTACCTTCCAAAAGGTTACTTCATACAAACTATTGTTCATGACACCCTTTGGTGTAACTTGAACCATAATCCTTTAAATACCTGGCCTGACTCCATGAAAACTGCAGAGGAGTAGGGCTTGCCTATCTCTGTCCTGGAGCACTCTGTACCAGCAGTGTCAGATATGAGCTCATAACTTGAACTCTATACCCCTAAAAGTGCTGATGAAAATTGGGCAGCCTGGGAATTGGGTTAGAATTCCTAGAACAGCATCTGGGCTGCCGTTTTTGAAGGGCTTCTGATGAAGTTGTTGACTTGCTCGTCAAGTTGCCTCGTTTTCGTCAGACATTTCGTCACCATGCTAGGTAACATCATCAGTGAGGCCTCCAATTGAAGTGATGTTGTTCTACGCCGTGTGGAATTTACATTGTCTGGTCCATTATGGTGACTAATATCATTTCTGGTTTTATTCTGTATGCGTTTGTATATCGGGTCCAATTCTATATGTTTGTTGATTGCATTAGGGGTTGAGAACCATGCCTCTAGGAACTCCCGTGTGTGTCTATGTTTGGCCTGGGCTACTATAGTTACATTGTCCCAGTTAATCTGATGGCCTTCGTTGTCTGAGTGTACTGATATTAAGGAAAATATCTTTCTAAAGAAAATAACATACAGAATTGGACCCATATACAAACCCATACAGATCAAAACCAGAAATGACACTACTCACCATAACGGGCCGGACAGTATAAATTCCAAGCGGAATAGAACAACATTGCTTCATCAGAGGCCTCACTAATGATGTTACCTAGCATGGTGACAAAACGTCTGAATGAAAACAAGCCTGCTCGGCGAGCAATTCAACAATCTCACCCACAACTCGAGCTAAAGATCTTTGCTAAAACCTTAAAGGATTTCTGATGAGTCAACCCAACTTGCCAAAATTATGATCCTAAGCCCCTAAGGTCACTTTCAACTCCATCCAGAGCAATTTAAATTGAAAGCTAGTGAATTTGTTGCCCATCTTTCCTTCTGACTCCATTTTGCAGGCATTAAATTACAGACTGCTGTTCTGCTCATTTATATATTTTGTTTAACTTCTGATTTTTCTCCTTTCATACCACTGCCATTCTAGTTTTAGTATTATCTGAAAATTTAATCAATTAGTCTTGGATTTCTGAGTTCAGTGCATCAGTATAAACTAGAACTGTTTCCACTATCAATTCCCACTGCACCTCACATATTTCACATTCTATAATCACATGCTGTTTATCCAAAACTAAGAATGACCATAAATACCCAAAGCTTTGAACGTAACTAACAGCTTTTTTTCTTGTGGAGTTCTGTCAAATGTCTTCTGGAATCTAAGTACTACACATTCTAAGGGTTACTCAAGTGCATTCGGAAGTCATGAGGTTATTGAAGTAGATCTATCCTTTCCAGATTCATAGTGATTGTTGTTTCCTATGCTACTACAAGTCAGTCTTGTATCAATGATAACCAGGTGTAGAGCTGGATGAACACAGCAGGCCAAGCAGCATCAGAGGAGCAGGAAAGCTGACGTTTCGGGTCTGGACCCTTCTTCAGAAATGGGGCAGGGGAAGAGGATTCTGAAATAAATAGAGATGTAGACTTCACAAGCTTCAAAATCTCCCCTTCCCCTGACCGGATCCCAAAACCAGCCCAGCTCGTCCCCGCCTCCCTAACCTGTCCGTCCTTCCTCCCACCTATCCACTCCTCCCACCTCAAGCCCCATCCCCATCTCCTACCTACCAGCCTCATCCCGCCTCCTTGACCTGTCCGTCCTCCCTGGAGTGACCTATCCCCACCCTAACTCCCCACCTACACTCACTTTTACTGGCTCCATCCCCGCCTCTTTGAACTGTCTGTCTCCTCTCCACCTATCTGCTCCTTTATCCATCTTCCATCTGCCTCCCCCTCTCTCTCTCTTTATTTCAGAATCCTCTTCCCCTCCCCATTTCTGAAGAAGGGTCCAGACCTGAAACGTCAGCTTTCCTGCTCCGCTGATGCTGCTTGACCTGCTGTGTTCATCCAGCTCTACACCTTGTTATCTCAGATTATCCAGTTCCCACTATCTCTGAATCAGTCTTGTATCAATGGTAGCACTCTCACCTCTGAGTTGGAAGTTCTAGGTTCAAAACTCACTCCAGAGTCGTAGTGGAAGAGTGTTACTCTATTGGAGTTGCCAACTTTTAGGTAGGATATTAAACATTTTTACCCTTTCAGATGAATGTAAAACTCCCATGGCTTAGTCAAAGACCTTGGAGTGTTCTCTATTTCCTGTCCAATATTTATCCCTCAAGCACCATAACTGAAGCAGACTACATGGTTATTAGTTCATTGCTGTTTGTGTGAACATAGTGTGTGCATATTAGCTGCAGTGTTCTCCAAGTTCCAACTGTGACTACTGATATATGTTTAATTGGTTGTTGGAACAGTTTGAAATTGTGAAAGGTGCTATATAAATGCATCTTATTATTTTCTTCATTATCTAAATAATTATATTTACGTTTCAATTCCATTATTTACCATGGGATTCAAGTAAGTCTAATGCAACTGGAGTAGCCTGTTTCAGACTTTATGCTCCTTTCTAATGTTGGCACAATGTTCCCATCTACAAGTACCTTCCCAGTGTCCATTGATTCCTTCAAAAGGATTGCCATGCCTCATAAATCTGCTCCGTATTCTCTTTTAGTGTTTTGAGATCATTCCTTTAGTTTTTATTTCTTTCCCTGCCCCAACAAAATGTTTTATGGCATTTCCTACAACGAAGTCTCTACATAAATGCATGTTGCTGTTGACAGGCTGGCTTTACTATTCAAAAGACTGTTTATTCTACTGTATATATATGTTGTAAATTTTTAATAGACTTTTTTGACAATTTTTGTAAGCAAAGTATATGCTATTGTGCGTGGAAGTGCTGCAATCTTGTGTTTATAACAAAGGTGGCTCTTCTGTGTAAGCTATTACTGATACAAGCCATTTGTGTTCTATGAAGAGGTCACAGACAGATCATAACTGATGTAATTTCTTAAAGCAACAAGTAAGATGATGGCAAATAATTTGTCCATAATACATAAGGATAAAGAGCCCTTGTGACAGTGTGAAACATATTCTAATTGTGGTGCATGGGAGAACTATTCAGTGCAATAACACACAAACAGTTAAGTAGCCACTTCACAGTCCAGTCCTTTCCCTTGTAATTCCCAACTCTGACCAAAAACATTTAGGTTCAAGTGTAGGTCTAGGAATACTTCCCATAAAAAGATGTGCAAAATCATTTATCATAACAGTAATTCATGGGATTAAAATTCTGATGCCAGTATTGTCCTACACATCATGTCTACAATCTCTTCATCTCTTTAGTATGGAAAGTAATCATTTGATTCTATTCAGAGATAATTATATGTGTTTTAATCAGTGTATAGCTACATGACAAACTAATTTTCTAATTAAGGTACTTCTGGTATCTTATTTTTTTAAATGGGAGATACTTTGAATGCAGTTTTTTAAATACAGCATTCATTTTTCTAAATGGAGCTAGTCAATAGCATACAGATTTTTAACAAAGCTATGATTTATGTGAAAATTTGTGTTGTGGTGATAGATTCCTGTTATAATGCAAATAGTTGCAATGTTTTTATATGAATAATGTTATGGTTGTCACTGGCAAGTCCATCTTTTATTGCCATTAACCAGTGTCAAACCAATGCAATACGTTAATTTACAGGATTTACTTTTCAGATTACAATGACTAATTTAAGTGCAGATTCTAAATATGCAGACTCTATTGTAATGTGCAAAATAAGGGCTCTGGGTAATCATATATTTCAGCTATTTCAATGTGAGGAGCATTTTGTAGGTTACAAAATAGCATTTTCAGCATTCAAGCATTACAAATAAAAGTCCGCCTCTCACAGAATACTTTTAGTCAGCTTCATATTAGCTTTGTAGCTGCCAATATTAGTGTTAGTGTGTCATGCTGTATCCTCATTGTCCACTAACAGTAAAGTAGAAATTTCAATACAATTTATTATGTTAAAATTAAAGTTCCTATAACATTTATTGAGCCTTCATTTATAAAGTATATGTACATAATTGGTGACTATTCTTATTTCACAACAGTTAAAGTAGGTAATTGATGAAATCTATTTCTAGGAAAAGTTAAACAATGTGAAGGAGAAATTAGATAGAAACATAAAATATTAGTTTTTCTTTCATGATAAAGCAGATATCTTTACCTGTTTTAGTTAATTGTGCAGAATGCTGCATTTAAAATGTTAGCAGTAACGCTAGAATTGTTTCAATTTCAAATCTAAAAATTTACCTGAACGGATCATATAATAGAGATGATGAAATAGATAGCAATAAAAGAGTGATTAGAAATAACTAAGTTATTTATTCCTATAATTACTAGGCATTCAGTCTGGTTTCTATCCAGCTATTACCTTGTTTTGTTCTTCAATATCATAATTTTGAGGAAATATTGCATTAACACAGCCATCCTTCTCAATTTTCCTCAGCTGAAGGTAAAATTGCCATCTAGTTTCAAAAGAAAACCAGTTTTCACGATAATCTATGAATATGAGCAAATATAATCCAGTGTAAATGAAACAACAAACAACAAATGGCTAATATATTTAGAATCTATACACAATTTTGTTACAGGAATAGATCTTCTGAAATCGAAAACCTGAAAGTAAAGGTTTTATGATAATTCTAACACTATTTTCCTACCGTAGTTTCTTTCCATCTGATTGCAATCTTCAGGTATTCACATCTTGCAAAACCTCCTACTTTGCTTCAGCCTACAGCCACCATTCCCTGTAATCTGGATTTCTCTCCTGCCACCTATTTGCCACATCATCTTTTCCTCTTCTTCAAAAGACTCCTAATATAATTTCTTAGTTTTTTTTCCCTTTAAATCTCTTAATTCCTGCTTAATGACCACAGTTGCTGTTGTAAAAGTAATTGTGTTTATTTAAAAAAACAACTGTTACAGTGCAGGACCATTGACTAGTTATAAGGCAAAGCTAAATAAATTCTCGACTAAAAGGGAGTCAAAAGATGTTGGGGGGGGATGGGTGAGAATGTGGAGTTGTGGTCACAAACAGTTAAGCTATGGTCTTATTAAATGGTGGAGTAAGCTCAAATGGTTTATTCCTGCTCCTATTTTATGTGCTTGTATGTAAGACGTATCTAATTAATTCTAGAACATTACATTAAGATTTCAATTTATTTTCAACCTTCGACATGGAGGAGGATGCTGGTTGCTCTGCTTTCTTAAGTATAGTCCTTTCAGCTCTCTGACCTGATTTCAAATCTTGACCAATACATACAACAATCATAACTAAGTGAATTTGGAATCGTTCAACTCAATTCTTAAGGAGTTGAGTGAGCAGCGCCAAACCAACTTAATATGGCACTATATGGCTGGTATTTTTCAGAAAAACAAAGTAGTCAGCAGAAAGAAATCAAACTGCACTGCCAAACGTTTGAAGTGGTAGAGAAAACAGATTTTGGGGGAAAAAGGGGAGTGTTTTCTTTACCTTGGATCTTATTCATGATTTGCTAGGGATGGGATAGTCTGATAGTCATCTTAGTGCAAAAAGCAGACATGCATTCTGCTGCTGAGTCATAACGCTAATGGGGATAGTAGTAAATATGTTTACTTATGCAGGAATACCATTCATTTCATCTTAGCACCCGATTTCCCACTTGTTTATCAGTAGGCAGAATTAGCAATATTATTATACTATTATTAACATTTCTATAATTATCAGAAGAGATGGCTTCCAGAACAGCTAAATTCCCAACATATCATGTAGCGAAATTGATTAATGCTACACTTTTGAAATTCTGACATACACTTTAATTGATACTGTTATGTGGCGATGAAGGAATGCTACATTTCAGGTGAAATGCTAAACTAAGCCTGCTAGTTCAGTTGCAGGTTGAAAAAATAAGTCCTCAGAGAAACAATCTTTATATTTATGGAAGAAACAGGCCAGTTTCAAGATGAGGAGCAGGAAAGCTAACATTTTGGGTCTGAAACGTCAGCTTTCCTGCTCCTCTGCTGCCTGGCCTACTGTGTTCCTCCAGCTCCACACTGTTTTATCTCTGACTCCAGCATCAGCAGTTCTTACTATCTCTCAGTTTCAAGAAGATCTGTCTCTTTCCTGGAAAGGGTTAAGATTGAAAGAAACTTGAGCATCATTATGAGATGTGAGTGTGTGAAACCCGTGGTGATTTTAATTGTTTGGCTGGTGGCTATTGAGTAAGAAGTGTTAAAACAACTACCATCAAGTCACAGGGATAGCAAGGACCCCAGGTGCTGGAGTCAGGGCTAACACAGTGTGGAGCTGTAGAAACACAGCAGGTTAGGCAGCATCAGAGGAGCAGGAAACCAGACTTGGGTCAGGACCCTGACCCTTCTTCAGAAGTTTTTTCTGAAGAAAGGTCCCGAACTGAAATGTCAACTTTCCTGCTCCTTTGATGCTGCCTGACCTGCAGTGTTCCTCCAGCTCCACACTGTGTTATTACCATCATCCTTTCATTTAAAGAAGCATAAAATGTTTCTAATGATAAACACTTGGTTACTGTATATGGCTGGTTTCGGTTTGATGAGCAACACTTCTGACTATTCACATTTCATTATAAGTTTGATTATCAGCTACTCTGAAGCAGTGCAGATAGGGGTGGGGCAATTAAGCAAGCACTCTACTTTCTGTGAGCCGGTAAACAAGAGACTCATAAATTGGACAGTCAATTAGTAAAACTTGCTAAAAGAAAGTTATCTTTGGCTTGAATGGCTGACCACATGCAAGTTGATAAGTTGTCTTAGAAAACTGACGTTTATTAACTGATAGATAGGGCAAGCAAGATACATTTCAACGCTTTGCTTATTCAGTTGCATAGACCTAAAGTTAATGGAATAATAGGTAAAAATTGGTTGGAATAGTTACTTAGCACATTCAACATAAAATAGCAAAGGTTAATTATATGTGGCAGGTTTCAATCTACAAAAGGTATTATCTGCCTATTGATAAACTGAAGAATCAGCATCAGAAAGACATTCCATCCAATTTGGATAACCCATGGCTTCTAATGTTATGGCCTCACCACATACTCTGCTTGGACTGTTGTATATTTCATTTTGGAGCAGTATATGCGAACACTCTTGATCACTAGATAGAGAGGTCACTTAATGTCACAAACAGTGTTTCTGAATCTCAAAGTAAATATCTATTGCAGACCCGATATTGTAATTCTAATTGAATTATTGTTGCAACCATTGTTGTAAGATAATTACAACTATGTATTCAAAGCAGAATTTTTTCTTTATATGATACAACAGGAGTAAACGAGAAATGTTTTAATTTTTTAAAGGAGCAATTATTTTGTGATCTGAATGTTTTCTAACATAATTAAGTAGCAAAAGGTTTTCACAATTTACATTTCAGAAAGTTGGTCAAGTTGGTCAGCAATTTAGAAGTGTTTGGGATTGATGGGTCCTTGACAGCATGGATTAGAATTTGGCTATGGAATAGGAAATAGAAGGTAGGTATAGATGGGCACTTCTCAGATTGGAGATGAGTTGAAATTGGTATTTCCCAGGGGTCAGTGTTGGGACCCTTGCTTTTTCTGATTTATATAAATGATTTGGAGATGGAGATCTCTAAATTTGCAGATGATACCAAGTGAGTGAGAATAGTCAATTACAAGGATGATGCTGAGCAATGTCAGAGGGACATTGACAAGTTGGCAAAATTCAATGCAGAGAAAGGTGAGGTAATGCATTTTGGTAGAAGAAACACGGAGAGACAATACAGGCTCAATGGTGTAACTTTGAGGGAAGTCAAGGATCAGAGGGACCTTGGGGTTCACGTGCATAATTCTCTAAAAGAGGTCAGGCAAGTTGAAACAGTTGTTAGAAGGCTCACAGGATCCTGGGGTTTATAAATAGAGACACAGAGTATAAAAGCAAGGAAGTGATGCTACATCTCTACAAATCATTGGTCAGACCACATTTGGAGTATTGTGTTCAGTTCTGGGCACCTTAATTAAGGAAGATCTTAAAGCCCTGGAGAGAGTTAAAAGGATATTTACTAGACTGTTACCAGGAATTAAGGATTTAAGGAAAGATTAGAGGGATTAGTCTTGTTCTCCTTGGAGCAGAGAAGATTATGAGGTGACCTTACTGATGTGTTCAAAATTATGAACAATTTTGACAGGGTAAAGAAGGATCATAGAATCCCTACAGTGTGGAAACAGGCCCTTTGGCCCAAAAAGTCCACACCAACTCTCAGAGGATCCCAACCAGACCCATCCCCCTACAACCCACCTAATCTACACTTCCCTGAACACAATGGGCAATTTAGCATGGCCAATCCATCTAGCCTAAACACCTTTGGACTGTGGGAAGAAACCCACGCAGACACAGGGAGAATGTGCAAATTCCACACAGACAGTCACCCTGATGGTGGAATCAAACCCAGGTCCCCGGTGCTGTGAGGCAGCAGTGCTAACCACTGAGCCACCGGATATTCTATTTCCACTAGTTAGTATGTCAGCAAAAAAGCTCATAGTGAGATGAGGAGAAATTTCTTCACTCAGAATGTTGTTAGGATTTGGAATATGCTGCCTGGAGGGTACTGAAGGCAGATTCTGTAGGAGATTTCCAAAAAGATCTGGAAATATATTTGAAAGGGGTTAAATTATAGGACTACAGAGACAGGGCTGGAGAGTGGGACTAGCTGGGTGGCTGTTTTAGGAGCCACTATCGACACGATGGGTCGGATGGCCTCCTTCTGTACTGTAGAATTCTATGATTCTATTTACATTCATAAAATATTTGAATTATACTTATAAGAATCTAAAAGTAAATATCATACAAATAATTAAAAAAGGAGAGACTTGGATACAAAATAGATTAGTAAGCTGGAAACCACCTGAAAAGTGCTTCATCTTCCTTTCACAGTACTGTTCCGCAGTTGGCATTACTTCCATCATCCTCCATCCCCACTGAACAATAGGCTTCCCTTGAACAGCGTATGATATAAAAAGTGCTGTACAGAAAGCACCTAGAAAGCCTAGAGGAGAACATGTTTTAGTCTTAATGTTTCAGATGATAATTTAGTACAAGTCTGATGGGTTTGAAATGAAGAATCAGTTTGTTCCATATATTTTATATATTTCCATATATTTTAAGAACAAAACAACGCATCATGATGCGCACAATTCACTTTATAATTTTTTTCCATAATCGTAAAAGCAACTAGTCTCAGACAGTAGGCCTATCATTCTGGGCGCAGCTTGATTACAAATTTCTAGTGCATGAAAGATACCAGAGTAAAATTAATATGCATATTATATTATGTTGAAGCAAACAATATGATGCAAACATAAATGTAATGCAGGTACCAATTCAAAAAAATACACAGGGCATCATATGAAGGTGTATCTTCTCTGTAAGGTCTTCACTTCCATGCCAGTATCAAATGCTTCACTTGAATCATTCATTTGCACATGCTAAGAGTGGATCAGAAGGCTCAGCCTAGAATGTCTACACCCTCCCTAAACGAAATGGTCCTTGATGCCATAACTGAGTTTACAAACTCTTTGTGCAGAGAATTGGGAAAATAATTTTGCATCCTTTTCATAAGATCTCATTGCATCATACTCAAGATATAGAGTCATAGAGTTTTTAACCACACTGAAAGAGGCCCATTGTGTCTGCACAAGTCATCAAACATCCATCTATTCTAGTCTCTTTTACCAGCACTTGGCCTGTATCCTTGTACACAGCAGTGTTTCAAGTGCTCATCTAAATAGTTCTTCAATATCTTGATGGCTTCTGTCTCTACTATACTTTCAGACAGTCAGTTCCAGATACCTAGGAATGACCTAGGATGTGAGATCGATTGAATTGAGCTTATATTATCTGATACACTAAAACAAAGAACTGCAGATGTAGTTATATTATTTGATATTTAGAACAGTGATAAATGATCGAAGGGAAAGACATAAAATTCTAAAGGGGCTTGATAAAGTAGACATTGAGAGACTGTTTCTGCTGTTTCAGGAATCAAAAACACAGGAGCTCAGTTTAAGGATTATGGGCCAATCATTTGGAAATAAGATAACAAGAAATTCCTTTACTGAAAGGGTTTGGTTCTTTGGAATTCTCCAGCCTGGGCGTTGTGGATGCTCCATCATTGAATACATTTAAGGCTGAGATAGCCAGACTTTTAATTCTATCAGAGGAACAAGAAGTATAGGCAACAGGTGGACTAAAGGAGTGAAATATTATCCATAGGTCATATTAAATGGTGGAACAGTCTTGATGACCCATATGGTCTACTCCTGCCTTATTTCTTATGAAAAAACAATATACACTTACCTTCCACATTTTTTATATTCTTTCAATAGATGTAGGAATTACTGACCAGGCCAACATTTGTTGTCCATCTCCAATTACTCATGAGAAAGTGGTGGTCAGTGGGTGATTCAGTGATGGCAATGGTTCAGCCATTTATGTGAAGAACGAATGGTTAGATTCTCTCATGTTGGAGATGGTAATTACCTGGTGCTTGTGTGGAATGAACATTCTGTGCTACTTGTCATCACAAGCCTGAATGCTGTCAATGTTTCAGACTGTCCAGCATGAATTCCCAAGCATTTGTAACAAAATTAATTAGTTCTTAGAACATTTAGAAATAACAGTGTATGAATTGGTAGCAAATACAGAAATATATTTGCAGGGTATTTAAGGCTGGATCCTGAAGGTGTTTAAAAATTTCAAAAGAGAGAAAGCTAGGAGCAGGAGGTGTGGTAGCTCTACTAATTAAGGATCATGTTAGTATGGTAGTGAGAGATGGTTCTACCTCAAAAGAACAAGATGTAGAATCAGATTAGGTAGAGATAAGAACTATGGAAGGTAAGACATCACTTATAGGAATATATTATGGACCGCCTAAACAGTAGTTACACCATAAAAAGGGGTTTACTGGAATAAATATTGGGTTTTACAGATGGGTATGGCAATAATGGGTGAGTTCTACACGCAGATTAAACAGACCAGACTGGGAAAGATAGCCTGCATGATGAGTTCATCCTGTTTTTGGGACAGTTTCATACAATAACATGTTCTATAGACAACCAGAATGCATGTTATTCCAGATCTGGTCATTTGCAAAAGGACAGCATGAATGACTGACTTCATTGTAAATACACCACTTGGTATGATAATAACAATATGATTAAAATTCACATTCAATTTGAGAGAGACGAGTGAGTCTAAGACTAGTGTTATAAACTTAAATAAGGGCAATTATATGGGCATAAAGACAGAGCTGGCTGACATGAACAATATACTAGAATAAGGGATAGGTCAGTAGAGATGCACTGGCAGACATTTAAGGTAATATTTCATAACATTCAGTGAAAAAGAAAGACTATAAGGAAAAATGTACCATATATGGCTAACTAAGGAATTTAAAGATGACATCACGTTGAAAGAAAAGACGCAAAATTCCATAAAGATTAGTAGCCAGTCAGAAGACAAACTCTGAAAATTAGAAAGAATTGCTAAAAATAGAGGGAGAGAAAAAAGGAGTGTATGGTGTAGGAGACTAGTCTAGTCTGTGCTACAATGATGACCAATACCCACTTCTTGCCAGTGATGTAGTTCCTTGCTTATACTTCTTGACGTTTGGAAAATGTGCTGTTTGGCTTTGTCCTGTCATTGGAGAACCCAAATCTGCTGTTTCCTGTCAACAATATCTTTTGTCATGGGTGATTTCAGCAAATTAAATGCCGTCCATGCTTTACCATGAGTGTGTGCGTGTGTGTGAGCGAGAGAGAGGTAACATGTCTGAACAATTTGATTGAAAATACCTACAATGTTCTGAGCATATAGATAGGGAGAAACATTTCCTTTTTATAAAGAGGTCAATAACCAGGGAACATATTTTTAAGGTAAGGTCCAGGAGGTTTACAGGGGATTCGAGGAAAAAAGTGTTTCCAATTTAGTGAACTTTTCCATACAGTCTCCAGTGCAAGTCTATCTTTCCTTAAACTTGAAGACCAAAACAGCACTCAATATTTTGGATGTCATCTAATCAAGCTCTCTACAATTGTAGCAAACTCATTTATACCTAGATTCCAATGCCCTTGCAATGAAGGCTTTCCCAAATGCTTGCTATAACTGATTGTTTACTTCCTGCATTCTTTGTATAAGCACACCCAAATCAAATTGAACATCAAAATTTTGAAGTTTCATACCTTTTTTAAAAATCCTGCTTTGTTCTTACAATCAAGTGAATAACTTCATACTTTCCCTACATTATACTCCATCTGCCACATTATTGCCCACTCTGTTAACCTGTTTATATCCTTTTGCATCCTATATATATCCTCCTCACAGCCTACCTTTACACATAGTTTTGTATCATTTGTAAATTTAAGTATATTACTCTCTTTGTCTTCACTTAAATCATTAACACAAACTGTAAATAGGTGAGGCCTCAGCACTGATCATTCTGGCATTTCACTATTTACTGCCTGTTCACTTAAAAATGCTTCATTTCTGCCCATACCTTCAAAACTCACAATTTGGTATTGTGTTGTAATATCGATATGTTTAACATAGTGATTTATCACAGAGATCTGTCCTTTAAAACTAAGTTGATCCTTAAATTGACTAGTCTAATGCATTCATTCTGATACATTACAAAGCTTTTCCATCAGAGAAAACATTATAATGCAGTGAAAAATGTTCCAAAATGTCCCATCAGCCTGTGTTGTCATATTTTCTATAATGATTTAAATGGCTTTTGTTGATTAAAAATTGATTTTGACAGTTGAAAAAATTTCTACTTGAAAGAAATCTAATCCTCCCACATTCATTTTTCAGGCACTCTACTCCGAATGTGAAATGAGACTTTCTATTATTCCCTTCTCGGGGGTTAACTATTGTTTTGGCAGCTGTGGCCATTAAAAATACTTGGCTGAATTTCAAGTGCTGACGGGTTTCAGTAAAGCAGGTGTTCCATTATCTGAGAATGAATGACACTTTCAAGAAGTTATAAACACACATTGTCTCTTTAATATACTTTCTGGTCTGTTGATACAAGCTAAAAGGATTACAGTTATTTTTGACATGTCATAATGCATGTTTTTCAGAGTATCAATGATATGACAACTCTTGATAAATGGTGGGAGGTTTACCTCCCCACCCTTCCCCCGGCAAAAGATTTTCTATTGATATTGCTGTGGAATCTGTGGAATCCATTTATTGCAAACTGGGTGAGGGTACATGGGGGGCACAGAGGGGCTATAGATGAACTGAGTAGGCATGAACTGAGACTGATCTTCTAACAAGACTGCCTATTCTGTTCACACTCTGATATGGCTTACAAGCTGCTTTACAAACCTGATCCCAGTATGAGAAGACAAAAATGATGCGTGAAGCCACACATGGATCAGGTATGCAGTTTTCCATTCACAAATTGTTTGGGTTTTCCATTCTATAAATGCATTGGAAAATAGAGCAGGAGGCTGGATGAGCATTTGAGGTAGGAGGGATTCAAGGTTATTCTGTTAAAGTTAAATAAGGAGAGTATGGTGGGAAGCACACGTGGAGCATAAGCACCATAAATATTTGGGTGGAATGGCTTATTTCCGTGGAATTACATAACGGACGTGAAGGTTTAGACAAAATAAACACACCAGAAGTAACATATTGTTTAAAACAGTTCTAATTAATTTCCAGTTTACTTTTTCTTATTGTTTTACTTAAGAATAGAGATGATAAATTTCTTGCCTACTTTAATAAATTGTTGCTATTTATAGCATCTACATAGTACTGTACAGCTGGTGTAGGTCAAGCTGGAATAAGTGCTTTGCAAAGTGGAGTTTCTGAGTATAGCATTAGAATTTATGCTCTGGTCCTTATTCCAGTAAATTTTAAATGCTATTGGCAAAAAAGATGAGCAAATTTATCTTGTGGCTTTTGTAATTGTATTGGAACAATTATCTTGACGTTCATGGGGTACATGCATATATTGCTGAAATGGTATTACTTAATCTTTCACATGTTACCTGCTGGATAACTGTGCGTCATTCGACCACATTCAATGCTGGCTTGGAGGAGGTCATTCAGTTGCTCTGCCTTTGAATAGCACATACCAATACACATTGTTCTTGCAGCTGCTCCAAATTTAGGTTCTGTGGATTGATATGTGACAGCAATTACCAGTGGTGCTTCAAATTCCACATCACTTGTACATACCAGTGTTACTAAAACAATGCTAATTATTACCCCTTAAAAAGCCAGCTTTAAATTATACTTATTTACAATCTAGTGGATAATACACATTCACTTAAATCCGTCAATATTTAATTAGTGGACTGTATAACTAAACCTCACCTTATCATCTCATGGTATATTGAAACCTATGTATATCACAAATGTGCAACTCAGATTCTATAGAAATGAAATAAAACAAAGCACTTCAAATGCTGGAAATCAGAAACACAAAGAGAAATTGCTGGAAAAATCTCATCAGTGTCACTGGCCTGAAATCTGCTTTCTCTCCAGAGATGCTACCAGACTTGCTGAGTTTTTACCAGCAATTTCTGTTTGTGTTTCTATAGACATTAAATCAGCAAAGTATGAACTCTATGCCTCAAAGCTAAAAAAAAGTGTTCTCCTATTTCCCATATGCAATTTTTTCTATAATTTTAATCACATGATATGGTATTGCCCTGTAATCTTCATTGTTATGACAAAAAAAGTCACAATGTTTCAATTCTTTTGTCACTTCTGTATTTTCTAATACCCAACATTGTCTACCATATCCGTGTTTTACTGTTTTGTAGTTCCAAAATATTTCCTATAGTATGATGTCCCATTCTCTAATCAAGATCTTAAAATTTCATGTAAGCTCTTCATGACCTCTTGGCGTTCATATTCTGTACCATTTGAGATAAAACCTAGAATTTTTTTCTCACAGCCTGATCAACTGGAACTGTTGCCTTTAATATCTGTGCAGACATACCAACAAACCTCTCTTCTCTTCTATTATATCAAGCTCTATTCCAATTGAAGTGAATCACATTACACTTACTAACATTGAATTCCATCTGTCATTTTTCAGCTTATTCCCTTAGCTTATCAATATCCCTTTACAACTTCTTTTGAGCTTTGGAACAATTAAATCTTCCTCATATTTTGGCATCATCTATAAATGTCAAAACCATTCCCTCTTGACCTGTAGCCAAATAATTGAATAACATAGTGAAAGGCAATAGTGCAGACCTGAATCCTGAGGGATATCACCATTGACTTCCAGCAACTCTAAATATTCCTACTGTCCATTTTCACCCATTAAAAAATGCATGGTTTCATTGCTATTCTTCTAGTAATTCCAAACCTGTTCAACATCATGAATAATTTCCTATGTGGTACCTTGTCAAACTCTCCTAAAGTCCATGGACACTAAATTCATCCTAGCTACCATCTTTGTTACCTCATCAAAAAAAAATCAATGACAAGCACAATTATAAATTCAGTGTTGGCATCTTCTAACTTTTTTTTGTTATCCAGATGCATTGTAATGTCATCCTTAAAGATGTTTCCATTCACCAATGTACAGCAAACCACACTATGTTAATCCAGTATACCAATCTTTTCTTTGTAAAAATGGGTACTACTTTGGCTGCTCTCTGGCACTCAATTTATTTTCTAGGACCTTCAACTATTTTACAGTGTTTGTGGGATTAGATTTGGAACTTTTGCTATTTTTATTAACATTTAAGATTTTAATTTTATCTGCTACAGTATCACTCAGATATGTTGTTAATGCTTATAATAGCCAACTTTCACTACATAATATATCGCTACGGCTAAAGAAAAAACAATTTATTTTGTGAAAGTGTTTTGAAATAGTAATAGGAACACTGTGAATGGCCATAAACTCAAGTGCATCTGTTCCATGAATACTACAGTTTTCCATTGTCTGGATAGAATGGAAAGAGAGACATTACTACCATTGGTGGAATGATTGAGAACAAGAGGTCACAGATTTAAGGCAATTAACAAAACAAGCAAAGGAAAACACAAATAAATACTTTTTCCATGCAATTAGTGGTTTGGATCTGGAATGCACTACATGAGAGTATGGTAGGGGTATGTTCACTCAAAGCTTTCAAAATGGAGTTGCATCATTATCTGAAAAAGAAAATTTACAAGGCTATGGGGAAAACCATGTGAATGGTACTAAATGGATTAATCTCACAGAGGGCTAGTACAGACAGAGTGGGCTGTGTTAATTCTTTAATTCCTTATAGATCAAAAGAAGTCTGTGCTGTAGTCATTCTATGATCTTATGATCTGGAATTACCATTCCTAATAATTTCAAACATCCTTCTTCAAAGTCAAATTCTTACAATTCCAGGAACATCATGGAAATGAGCAATAATTTCAGATTCCTCTTCTCAATGACAATGGTTCCTGTAAAATTCTTTCAACTATCACTCTAAATGTTAACTCTAAAAATATTTCAAGGAAATATTGGGTTCCAAAGGGATGACCTTCTATGCAGGTACTTTAGCCACTATCTCCTTCTGGATCTCCTATCCATGTCCACTCTTCTTACGTTTGACTCACCTCATCCTGATCATTTATAATACTGAAGTGTCTTCCTCCCACTCCAATTACTCCTCCAAATTCTGTTTTTTTTTTAAATGAGCAGTATCCCTTGCTTTCTCAAGCCACTCCTGTCCAATTAGTGGTCATTTTGTTATGTTTCTCTATCCTATGCTCACCAATATTGTAATTGGATCCCGCTAGTTAGGGACCGTGTCGAACTTTACAGAATTGTCATGATTTCATACTCCTTGAAATAGCATTCACAAGATACTTTGTTGTCACAACCACCATTCCCATTCCATGCCCCAAGTCCTTCAGGATGTTGTCACCTCCTGGCTTCATTTCACTTTTGTAACACGCTGTTTGAAACCCTTAACTGTCAGTGCTAAGGTTACCCTAATGAAAATCATATAACATTCTCTGAAATTCAGGACATACTTTATGGCCATTCGCTCCTTAATTACTGCAGTGATGTTCACAGTTGAACATTTTCTTCTGTTGCCTTTCCTGTCAAATTGGAAACTACTTGTGAATAACACATGGAAGATTTTGCCCTATGTATGAGAGTTTTGATTTTTCTTTGTATTTTATGTATAGTTCACTTTTTTTTGAAAAGGAATCTCTCATTCATATTAAGCATAACTGTGCTTTAGTGGTAACCATCCATAAATTATCACTTGATTAACTTGCAGTCAGTCACTAAATCTTCATTGTGAATATCATACAGCACAGGAAGCACATTGACTATTCCTGTCTAACCTGGCAACAGCTGGTGACAAAATATCTGAAAAAGATTACCTGCACAAATTTAACGTGTAAAATATATGAAGAAAACACATTTAGAGGAATAGCTGCCTCACTGTAATCTTACTTCAGGTTCAATTACGGATTATAGAATGTCAACTGAATCAACTGAAATCTAAATATTAATTTGTACTAATTATCGGTTACGAATTGTTCTTTGTTTTCACCTCATCGTAAATCTAACCTACCCACATTTCATCCAATCGTTACACTAATATTTCGCAGCCTCGAAGCGCAATGAATAGACACATACATTGCGAAAATTAGATGAAATGGTTTTCACCTTTTCGACTGAAGGAAGTGTATCCTCTGGATGCATAGTTTTTTGACTGAACTTGGGCTCCGTCTGATACGATTTTTGGATGACATTTTTGATACCTATGCAGTGTAATGAGGTATCTCTTCGCTGCCTGGCTGCACAGTTCTTGGACGGAACCCCTTTCTGAAAGAATGGCACAGACTGCTTATTACTTTGAGCGATTAGGTCGTCTTTGATAAGTGTTTAAATCAAACACATGAAAGAGCCTTAAATATTTAGCACATACAAAAATATATGGAATATAATGTAATACATTTGAAGATGTTGGAAGTACTCATCAGATTAAAACCTTGACTGACGGAGTTTTGGTGCCGAGGGGATGGAGCTCCTCTTGAAGTATTTGTTAAAAGCACGCTTATAGCACGATTTAAAAATGTGATTTTTTTAAAGCAAAGTGGTGAAATTACATTTTTAGTTTACCAGTGATGAGTCGACTTTTCAAACTACAGCTTCGTCCATCAACAGTATTGTTAAATGGTACCTAAATTAGTACTTTGAGGTACTTCGAAGTTTATCTTTCATATCCATATATGATGTAGATGGAAGGCAGCAGTTTCTTTAGTATTTCAGTGTCACGATCTGGTCAGAGCAAACGGAGAGTGATGTAGGGTTGATCGTTTAAATTGGGTAGTTCGCTGGGTTAAAGGCGCTCGGTACATTACAAGTTGATGCTGTAATATATAGGTCCGAGGCAAGCGGTATAACATACAGTCACCGTGCTGAGACAAGCACTACAACATTCCTATCTTCACAGGTAAAGTCACACGAGGATTGGCTTCCCTGTGTCGTGGAATCGCGTGAATCAGCTGTGTTTAAGGTTGGGCCGAGTTAGGATTTACCAATATCAACCAGAACAAAAGATAAACGAAACAAAATGGACAAAGCAAGATCACGAAACAAAAGAGCAAGAGGAAAGGAAATCGAAGGCCAACAGAAAACTCACCAGAGGTTAATGCTTCAGCAGTTGCTATGTGCATGAGAGTATCAAATGGAGCCGGCCACCGAAATGGTTTTGAAATCATTGTGTCTATTTCTCTTGATAAATCTGACTCCGTCAATTTTAGTCCAGGTTTGTTGCACTCATTGCAAAAATTGTGATAACCAATAGCATTCCCAAGAGCTCCCAGCACCATGGCTGCCTCGTACCTCTCCATTGTACCGGCTCCCAGAACCTTACGCCGACAGCTACCGGATTCCTCGACTGTTTCACGAATCCCCGTCAAGGAAGGTCTAATACAGAATCTGGACTTCGGGAGTCCCGCCCCACTCCCTGCCGATTGGATCTTCAACAGCACAAGCATCCTATTTCAAAGGCGCGAACTACAAACTTTGTTTACGGCGTTTTGAAAAGTCCTGCTCAGATCAATCGCACTGCTAATTTGGTTAGAGACAAAAAAAAAGCTACAGATGCTGGAATCCAAGGAGACAAACAGGAGGCTGGAAGAACACAGCAGATCATGCAGCATCTGGAGGAAAGGAGCAGTCACCTTTCGGGTATTACCCTTCTTCAGGTCTGCATGTGGGGATAGGGGCAGCTGCAGATAAAGGTGGGGGGGAAGGGGTCGAGGCAGAATGGTGGTGATAGGTGGACACGGGTGGTAGGTACGACCTGGTTGGTCGATGGGAGGGATGAATCCGTTTGGTGGCTGGAAAGGAGGGCCAGAAGGTGGAATGGAAGGGAGGAGATGAGGCTGAAGGGCAGTGGCGGAGGGAGAATGGTTGGGAAGGTTATTTGAAGTTGGAGAACTCAATGTTGAGTCCTCAGGGCTATAGGGTGCCCGGATGATAAGGTGTTGTTCTACAAATTTGCATTGCGAGTCGCTACACTGGAGGAGGCCGAGGACCGACACTTCAGAGGGGGGGTGGGCGGTGACCGGGAGGTTAGGTTGGCCGTTCCAGGCCAGGCGGAGATGGTCGATGAAATGGTCACCTGTCTACCTTTGGTCTCACCGACGTGGGGAAGACTACCATGGGGAGCACCGGATACAATAGACTAGGTTGGAGGAGATGCAGGTGAAGCTCTATCTCACTTGGAAGGGCTGTTTAGGGCCCTGGATGGAGGTGAGGGAGATGGTGTGTGGGCAGATGTTGCATCTTTTACAGTTACAGGTGAAGGTACCGGGCAGGTTGGTGTAGTTGGTGGGGAGTGTGGCAAAGGCAATGGTCCTTGCGAAAGAGACAGTTGGGGAGTGGAAGATGTTCTGGGCAGTGGGGTCTAATTGGAGTTGGCGAAAGTGTTTGAGGATGATATGTTGGATGCGGAGGTTGGTGAGGTGGAAAGTGAGGACAAGGAGGACCGATTTTAATTATGTTTGCAGGTGACCATTTCATCGACCATCTCTGCCTGGCGTGTAACGGCCAACCCAACCTCCCGGTCACCGCCCATTTCAACTCCTCGCTCCACTCCCCCTCTGACGTGTCGGTCCTCGGCCTCCTCCAGTGTAGCGACTCGCAATGCAAATTTGGAGAACAACACCTTATCATCCGGGCACCCTACAGCCCTGAGGACTCAACATTGAATTCTCCAATTTCAGTTATGTTTTGTGGTGGTGGTTAAGAGCTGTGGCGTGGGGAATGGAGGAGGCGCACTGAAGGGCTGTCTGGATGACAGAAGGGGAAAAGAGTGTTGTTTGAAAAAGGCAGACATCCAGGATGCTTGGGAATGGAATGTCTCCTCATCAGAGCAGATGCTACTGAGACGGAGGAATTGGGAAAATGGGATGGAGTTTTTGCAGGATTAAGGGTGGAAAGAGATGTACTCTAGGTAGCCATGGGAGTCCGAGGGTTTATTGTAAATGTCGGTTGGTACCCGCTAACTCCATTCTGCCTCCACCCCTCCCCCTACACCCACATCTCCCACGTCCGGTCCTGAAGAAGAGTAATATCCGAAACATTGACTGCTCCTTTCCTCCAGATGCTGCCTGGCCTGCTGTGTTCTTCCAGCCTCCAGTTTGTCCACACTGCTAATTTGGTTTGTTGACTGCATTATTTTAAAATACATGAAATAAAAGTTTCATGTTTATTCAAGTCACGATCCAACATCTAAATCTGAACGATTTAACTGGAATTGAATCTGTATTTATCGTGGTCAATTCAAACTACTCATTTATGCTAAATTGTATGATAAATTTATCCTTCTTTAATCTGGAAGCAGAAAGGTAGGTTTTCTTTTACCTGATGATTTTGCTCGCTACTTCACTAAAACTCAGTTTCCAGAAGACGCAAATCTGTACTAGCAAATCATGTTGTGAAGAAACTGCATTAGTAAGTTTCAAATATTTACGAAGTTTCTTTTATTGTAATGCATAATTGTGATACCTAAACGTATTCGTATGATTCTGATCATGAGATTATGCCTTCAAGTGAATATTTGACATGTCTCTATACGCTGTTGACATATATGCGGTTTCATATCATGGGCCATCTGTTACTAGCTTTGTCGATGTTATAATCCTACATTTAATAATTGGGAAACATATTTTGGTCTAGGTGGAACTGTAACAAGAACTAAACTATTAGTTTGATTTTCAATACTTGCGTACCTCTCTCTTGTTATTCACAATAATGTAATTCGTTGTTATAGCTTGCGATTTTTGCATGTCTTTTTTTAATTACTAGGAGTGTCTATTAATTGAAATACCGTCCGTACTCAGATTCAACAATTACATTAACACCATAAATGTTCAATAGTTTCATGGCTATGAGGAGAGGTTATATTTACTTTACATTTAAAATGGATGGAGGGAAGAAGATTCTCTTCCCAGTTGTAGATTCAGATGAAGCACGGAATGCACACATAAATGACAACAATAACATGAATTTATATCGCACCCTAAAGACTTCATAGACTGCAGCTTGCAAACAATTTTAGGATGTCGTCTTTGGAAAGGGGTAATGCAGCAAACACTCAAATTGCTTATCTAAATGTATGCGATGAAAGTTTATCATCTTTACTGTAACGAAGGTGCTTTTTTCAACACTCCAAATCGCACAGACTGGATGCAAAACGCTGGCGAGGAAACACAGTCAACTGTTGACATGGAGCCTGAAATTCACCCGCAGGTTCCAACCAACAAAAACTTTGCATCAAACATTAACTAAACAATGCTTATCCTGAGGCTGCGTTTACTTGACATGCACAGATTTTGTATTACTGTACAAGATTTGATACACACTCAATTCCTCGCCAGCCATATCACCGTGAACACAAAAGATCCGTTTGATTATAAATCTGACATTATATCTGTGTCTTCCGCCATAACCGTTTCCTCCACATGTTGCTAACATCTCACTCCATCCCGTTTCTTGTTTGTCGTGAGCGGACGACGTTCTAAAAATCCGAAAAGGTACCAGTTTAGGTATGATTTTCACCCAAATGTAGTCCAGCATCTATCTATACATAAGAATCATACTTCGTACGACTGCAGCTGAAATTTGGAAGTCGGGTCAAAATACCCATTTCTATATTGACGACGTTTTCTTGAATACAAATGAACACCTGGAGGAACTCCTGCATAATAAATCATGCTTGCCACATTTGCGGAATGCAGATATTATTGGACTCTTTGGGAAAGTTATACATTATTGAGTTACAACTTGGTAACGGTTGATCCAAATAATGTGCAGAATACACCGTGAATCGTGCCATTTCAATATTGCCTAAACAAATAGGTATGATTCCAATAGTTTCACTACTAACGGAGGTTCTGTTTATTTTTTATATAAGGTTACAAATGCATTTCCTTGGCTGGAAAAGGGCACGGGAAAAGTGATTATGAGTTGAATTCCGAAGATAAGTCATTGGACTCAAAACATTAACTCTGTTTCTTCCCACAATGATGCTACCAGAGCTGCAGAATTTCTCCAGCAATTTCTGTTTTTCTTTCAGATTCTTCAGTATATTGCTTTTACATGATTTGTGGCTTTCTGAAATTCTGTAAAACAAGTTTTATAAGGAGCTAGAAGTTCTTTTTATGTATCAAATTGTTCTGTTCAGATTAATATTTGCAATAATAGTGTTAATTTTATATGAAGTTACAACATGAGCACGTCTTACTAAGATAAACGTTTGGATATGAAGCATTTTGAGATGGAATGAGTTAGTGAAAACCGCGATTTCTTCCCGTTTTTACCTAAAATGTATCTCATAATCTGAGACAAGGGGTTACAAAATCTGTTCCAGTCCAACAACCTGTGATATGCCTCATATTATGCGAAATTCCACAGTCAGTACTAAAGTCTGAAAAGTATTTGATATTTCCATAATGGCATTTTCATTGTTTCAGATGACTAATGTATTCCACGGAGAAAGTTTGATCAGTATGTCGAACATCCACACACGTTCTATTTTGAAAAGGCACACTCGCTGAAACAAACTCGCGTTTTGAAAGGTGTTGATCTTGCGGAATAGGAATATAACATGAACAATACCCCATTTGAATTTTACTATGTATTAACACCGTATTTTTATAATTGTTCTGTAGATGTTGTATTTAATTTGAAATGTTAACTGTTTACCTCTCCAGAACCGGTGCCAAACTTGCTGAATATGAACAACATTTTTTGTTCTTATTTCAGACTTCCGGCATTCGCAGTATTTGCTTTAATTATCACAATATAACAATTTATGACAAAGTATACGAAGAATTATTTTAATAATGTTGCCTTATTTTTGAAAGTTTATCTTGTTTACAAAGCTTTGAGAACAAAAGGAACAAGGGAATTTAGCTCCATTTGACATTTTACTGCATTTTTTGTGAAAATGTGGTAACAGTACTGAGATAAAACAATTTTACCAAATAACCATGTGTTGAATATATCCTGCTTAGCCACATGACATTCCTCAGTCAAAGAAGACCACGATAAGCGCATATTAATTGAAAAGCGGTTGCAGGTATCGTGGTAGATCTACTACTTAATAAAAAGAGATGAAGTACATTATGCATAAATGAAAATTGAGTCTTGATTAAATTATACCTTTCACAACCTTAGGACCTCAAAGTGGACCATTGAAGTGTAGTCACTATTGTTTTGTGGAAAATGTGGCAAACAATTTGGCACAATTAGCTCTCAAAAAAACTGCAGCGTGATAATTACCAGATTATTTGTTTTTGTGATGATGATTGAAATATAAATATTGGCCATGAAATCAAGATAACACTCATCAATGGAAATGGTGCCCTGTGACCTTTATGCCCTTTTGGGGGTATGGGGAGGGATTTCGGTATAGGGTCACATGCAAAAAAAGCAGGTAGACCAAAGGCATCATTTCCTCTCTGCTGCCTTGAAGGATCAGCCTTGATTTTTGTGGAGTTGGGAATACTGTACAAATTATGACCTCATGACTCAGGGCCAACAAGCCACAACAGCTGACACTGACATGACACGGAACACATAACGCGGAATATAGTATTGGAACCCAGTAAAATACACCAGACCTGACTAAATTGAAAAAAAAATTGGAGATGTTTATATGGTAATATTTTAAATTTGCTGCGCTGTGCCAGTCACCTGGTGTTAAAGTCCGTCCCATGGCACTGACGCTTTTTGCAAGTTACAGCCTCGAGCTGTGTATGTATGTGAGAGAGCGTGCGTGCGTATGCATAGAGAAGTGGTGCATTATTTTCTATTAATACACATTATTAAATTATTTCGCCTCTCAATCTCTTCGTCTAGCGACCCTACTCTCACCATCGACACAGAATAAAACCAAAATTGTTATCGGCCAACCCAACCACCCCCCCCCCAACATCATTTCGAAGCAGCAGATAGTTTGCTGCAGAGAGGGGAAGCGGGTTGCTGCTGCTACTTGGGAGTGAGTGAAGTCGAGGAGGAGTTGAGTTTGCAAGTGAAGTTTGGCTCATCCCCTTCTTCTCCGCCCCCTCTCTTCGCCGGGTGGTCGTGACTGTAGTGACCGGGGTTGCAAACAGCAAGCGACTCTAACTTTACCTCTGAGTCTGAGCCTCAGTGTGAGAGAGAGAGAGAGTGTGTGTGTGTGTGAGAGTGTGTGCTGGGAAGGGGAGAGTGCGCTGCACTGCGCATGAGTGTCACCCACGGTGACTGCTAATTGTCCGTTTTTTTTTCTTTTTATTTTTTTTAAAGAGGCCCGAGCGCTTGAAGATGGTGAGTGTTTCTGCGATGGTCTTGTCTATGTAATAGCGCCGGGCGCGTAAGGCGGCGGCCGCTTCTCGGTTTGCTCCGGCCCGGCCCGGCCCGGCCTGGCCTGGCCCGGCCCGGCTTCTGGTTCCACCACCACCACCACCTCACCGACACATTCCTCATTCAACAGCCATCCTGTCCCCGACCTCCGGTGTGAGGGTTTATAAAAGAGAGGGAGAAGCTGGGGGGTGGTGTCTTGGATTAGGCCGTTCCCGAGTGACAGGCCTCTTTCCGCGGGGGCTGTTTACCGGTAGCCGGCAGGCACCTACAGGAAAAAGGCCGGCGCCGTCATCGCGCGAGGCCCGCTGCTTTCCAGGCCTACACCAGATGGATGTGTGTTGGGTCTTTCTTTAATTCATCACTAACCTCCAGCAATCCCCTCCCCCCATGATTTATTTTTAAATTGAAATGTAGACGAGTTTGTATAGCGGTGACCGAGGATCGGTTTCGCAGGTTGCCCTTCATACTCTGTGATATCCTCTTCTCCCGGGTTTGAGTCTTTTTTGTTATGAAAAATGTTATGTTCCTTCTCCACACCCCCCCCCCCCCGTAGATTTCTTGTCTAAACTACGCCACTACAGAGAATTTCCTGGGTTTTGCTCCGTTAATACTTATCTGACAAATAGAAATAGCAACTAATTTCCTAGTGAGGCTAATATTAATGTGTCGTTCATGCCAACGCTTGCAACCACCACTAGCAAATGTTAGCCTTTATTGATGCTGTTTTAGATTTAGTAGTAAGGTAGACTTTTTCTAGTTAGTTAAAAGTTGAAAGGATTGTATTGGATACATTTTTGTTTATGTAGCTCTTACAAAACCTGCTGCTGTTCCGTGATTCTTTCCACGTATGGATCATCTATCAAGACTTAATCGTACTTGAATATTTTAGTATTTTGTAGCCAGTTTGAGTTCGGTGAATCTTGCGGTTTGCCAAGTAAAACGTTTTTTGAGAACGGCGTTGTAAGTGGGTTTAAAAGTAGTTACTGCACCCATTTGTGCATCTGTATCTATCCATACAAATTTGTACCAATTTGGAGAAAAATGGCTACTTGTGAGTGAAGAGCGAAGAAGTGTGATTAAAGATTTCAAATTCTATTGAGCCTCAAGACGACACTGTTTAAAGGTGTTTAATCATTTGATTTGAACTATGGTCCCAAAACAAAAAAAAACCGAAATATTGAAATAGTCTTGAACCCTTTCTGACACATTTAGGATAGAGTAATGTTGCAAGAATTTTTGCACCATTCTTTTGCTTTTGACTTATGGCATGGAACAATACTAATTCTTTACAAGGTTAGCATACAAGGTTTAAATATTGGACATTCCTTTTCTATTCCTTCCAGAATGATGGGGATGTTGATGTATATTTGCTGTAGAATTTCTAAGTTATTGATGTTTCTAAATGCTTTCATTTAGTGATGATGTCTGATTGTCCAGTCCATGTCTTAATATTACCGTATATTCGGAAAATGGAATATGATAATAGTTGATGTCTGCATTGATAACTAAATTATTATACTCTGGTGTAATGCACCTTAGAGTGTCAGGTCAATGCAGTCCACTTGATCTGCACCCCATCCAACAGATAAAATATCTGCTTCCTTCAAATGTATTGTAGCTGTGATGTGCCCTGCCACAGATATGCTGCTGTAAGTTGCCAAGGTTGTTTTTGTCACCCCCTTGTAAGCTCATAACTTCCCATCTGGAAGAAGGGAAACAAATTAATGGGAACAACAATCACCTCCAGTATCTGCTCCCAGTTATACAATATCCGTACTGGGATATATGTCACTTACACTTCCTGGGCCAAATACTTAGAACTCATATGAAAGCAGTGTAGGAGCACTAATACCATAATGATTGCAGTGGTTCAAAAAGAAACCACTTTCTCAAAGACAGCAAAAGATTGGACAATAAATGCCTCTATCCTGAGAGTGACCCTCTATAAAGGTTACATTGAAACTCAACAAAAGCGAAGGCAAAAATGATTACCTGTGTGATATGAACAAGTGTGTTACAGGTTTTGTTTTATTATTGAGATCTGATAACTATGGGAAAATACTAGATTAATACTTTCACACTTCTCTTGTATTACAGACTTTTTGCACATCTCCATTTTGCTGCATTGAATATTAGTTTTCATTTTGTGGCAGACATTTGAGCAGAAATTCCAAACACTTCAGCATGTTTGTACTAATATGAAAAAGTCTAACTGCTTCATCAGACCAGATTTTCTTATGTTGACTTAATGATGTCAGATCTTTAACATTTGAAAAATGATTGTGGTTTGTTTTTGGATCATTTGGGCTTTGCTGGTGAATAGTCTGAGGCCTAGAGAGCAGATCAGTACCCTTTGGCACATTGAATCTATACTGGTCAAAAACAACCACTAAACTCTTCGAATCCCATTTTCCAGCATTTGGCCCATAGCCTTGTATGCCTTGTACATCTAAATAATTTTTATGTCATGAGTATTTCTACCTCTGCTACCCTTACAGACAGTGAGTTCCAGATTCCCGCCTCACATTGCCCCCAAACCTCCTGCCCCTTACCTTAAATCCATGCTCTGATTGTTGCTCCCTCTACCAAGGGGTAAAGTTCCTTCCTGTCTATGTCCCACATAATTTTACACAGCTCGATCATTTCCCTCCTCTGTCTTCTGTGCTCTAAGTGGGGGAAAGAAGCAGTCTATGCAATCTCTCTTCATACCTAAAACAATCCAGCCAGGCAACATCCTGGTAAATTTCCTCTGGACCCTCATTATTGCAATCATATCCCTCCTATAATGTGGAGTCCAGAACTTCATAAAATACTCTGTGGCCTAACCAACCTTTTATACAGTTCCAGCATAACCTTCCTGCTCTTAAATTCTATGCCTCGGCTAAAAAAGGGTAAGAATCCTAAATGCTGCCTTAACCACTTTATTTATCTGTCCCGCTATTTTAAGGGATTGGTAGACACGCACACCAAGGTTCTTCATCCTTGGTATTTCCCAGAGTCCTACAGTTTATTGTGTATTCCTTTGCCTTGTTTGTCCTGCTCAAATGCATCACCTCACACTAATCCAGACTGAATTTTGCCACTGATCAGCTTATCTGACCAGCCAGTCTGTATCCTGATGTAATCTAAGACACTCCCCCTCACTATTTAGCAATTTTTGAGTCATCCATGAACTTAGTGATCA